AATTATAGTCTTTCTTCGATGCATTTGCCTTCTTCCTCCGCTATTAATGATCTTCGATATAAACAACAAGAAACATCAACACAGTTTTATTAAGACCACCGGTCTTATACAGATTCACCACAGGAAGAAAGGAAACATAGATGGAGCTCCTATACTCCAGACTCCAGACAACGCAGCACCCAACAACAGCCTCCAGGTTCGATACATGTCCAATGGCCACACCTTCCTTTGTACATACGTCATGGTTAGCGTATCACTGAACAGGCTAATGTGGAATCAGCCACGTTCTAGTCTTCGCTTTCCTCATCCAAATGGACCACGACATTCGGCGATTCTATTAATCTCCTCCGAACGGTGACTGCGGCCTTGTAGAATTTATATAAACCAAAAAGAAGACCTTGATCAAATATCATTGCATTCATCCAGTTATATATTTGTTGTCTATCGGATTAAAACAATGATAAATCACCCAAAAGTTCCCTTGTTTGTTTCTCCAGGAAAAAACAGTCAAATATGGTATTAATGATTTTACAACGGAGATGTTGCACTACTTATTTGACTGTGCTGCTCTGTCTGAGGAAAGACGAAAACTAAATGATAAAACGGGGCAACTTTGTCCTTCATTTCCGGCACTAATTAATGAAATATCAAAGAATAGGTATATAGCGATGGCGATATTTGGATTCCACAAGACTATATCCCGGAAAAAGGCCACACAGTGTTCTCCCCATCCCTTGTGAACTGGCGAATCCTGTATAGGGCGAGAGGCCCTAAATAAAGGCTTTTTTGTTGTTTGTTTTGTTGTATTAATGATTTCGTCTTGTATTCAGTTATTACATAGATCACGATCTTCAATATGTCAAAAACTTATTCCATATATGATATGGTGAATGGATAAATGACTGCAGAGATTTGTTAACTAAATAGCTCACAGTGGCACAACTTTTTACAGCTATACAATACATACCTAACAGTATTTTTGTTCTAAGATGAAGAAAAAAAGTTTTTTTTTTTTCAGAGTGAAGAGTGTAATATGTTTTGTTTATTATTTTTATTGAAGAAAAAGATATATCTCTATAAAAGACTTATTTATTTAAATCACAAAATGCAACATACCTAATATTAAAGGTCAAAGACTCTTCCAGTAAGATATGTCAAGTAAGAAGTTTCAGAAGATGAGTTTCTTTTAATTTTAATTATGTAATATCATTGTAATAATTTTTCTAACTCTCTAATTTTTCAAATATTAACACAGTTTTAATTCATTCAGATCCAGACGCGCGAGTAGTCTCACGCGAGCGTGTATTTATATCTTATTTTGTTTTTGTTTTCTATGGTTAGCTGTTATATATTTAAATTGTTTAATTCTCAGTTGTTTAGTTACCTTAATTTACCTTTAATTTTTGTTTTTATTTTTATTTTACCTGTAGAAGGGCATTGCCCGAAAGCTTGTAATTTTTTACAATTAAAAGAAACTCATCTTCTGAAACTTCTTACTTGACATACCTAATATTATAAATCTTTTAGCTTATTTTACATATCTATATATAAGCAATAATAACATTGGTCAAATTTATTTAAAGCATTTATATTATATTACAAAGGGAAAGGAAAACACTGGGTAAGTTTAAGGTTTAATCCACGGGTAGAATTGTCAAGCTTCTTCTTACACCGCTGACCATCTCTTAAATCGGTTTGGAGATGGATGCCTTCAACTTTGTACACTGTTGGAAAGTTTGTGTTTCAATAGTTTACTGAATGCTAACTCGTTTTATGCATTTATGTAGAATATAGCTAGTATAGAAATGCTATTTTACCTTTTTATGTGGTTTCAACTGTTTATCTTGCATGTCAATGACCACCGGTCTTATACAGATTTACCACAGGAAGAAAGGAAGTATAGATGGAGCTCCTGTACTCCAGGCAGCGCAGTACCCAACAATAAATGCTTATTATGAACCATAGGTAAATATATGTGTCTTTATTCTTCTATTTTTATATATATATATTTTTATTCTATTTAGATATCTCTAACCTATAAATTCATTATTAAGATTAATTGTCAAATTAGTTTTTTTTTAATACATTTATGGACAAAACTTAAAGACGTTGTACCTTTTAGCATGTATATCGGGATTCAGACAATAACTCTGAAATGTTAAATGTTAAATTGTATACATCTAGATGATATGTATATGTGTAGTATAATATTGTCCCAAAAGTTCATGTTTTCTTAAAACGTTAATTTTCTTATTACTTGGCGAATAATATTTCCACAGAATAATTATTTTAAATACTCTGTTGTTTATCTTCATAAATATTTGCCTAGTCATCAACCCTTACCATGCTTATATATTATCATTTGTAAATTAAATTAAAAAAAAAATAGTTGTACATTCTGATCAATAAATTATTCTTACTCAAAACTTTGTAATAATCGTCATCACTACCGTGACAATATTATTACGGCGAATACATAATACAATTACTTTATACATAATACAAAGACATTATACATAACAGCGAATAATATTGGTATTTAAATTTTTTGCAAGTCTTTACGAACTTTTGGGATAACCCTGTATTTCAGTGGAACACAAATCTTTTAAATATTCTATAATTACCTTTGAATAAACTAAATAATAAATAGAAACACACAAAATGTTATGTAACTTGCTAACTAGATAAGAGTTGTGTTTTAATTTGCATAAGAAGAGAGTTGAAAGTCGTGTGGAAGGAGAAGAAGGTATGTATCCCATTATAAGCGGGAGAGATATAAGAATAGGACATCCTGGGTGGGCTGAAGTCAAGACAATGGTTGCACGTCTCTATACTGAGACCTTCTTCTTTTAAACTACATTTGTATGTTCCTATAGAATCTGACTGTCTTCAGAAACACGCTGCTCTTCTATACCTAAATTTTGTAAGAGTTTGGGTTATGTATGGATTCTCATACCTCACTGATATATCATTTAACAGCCAAGAACTGAAAATACCTAGTGAATGGGCAGTATCCATAAACGACTCATTCAAACATAGTTTACTTTGCTGTCTGCAGGCACTTTTTAACACCTTGTTCTTTAACAGCTGACTACTATCGATTGTTACAACCATTTTTTTACTCTGCTCTCTGTTGGAAGACTTTTGTATAAATAATTTGGTTTTCAAGGAATGTAGTTCCGGATTGCCTTTATAACATGACCATTATATAATTACGGTAACAGATAAAATTTTTATCATACAACTGTGGAAATAAGCCATTAAACCTACAAATATTGTTTTTGACTGGTGCTTTAGATGTTGTGCTGAATTCGAAGAATCACGTGAGAACGCCCTTGCAGCCTCAGAACAATTTTTAACGCCTTGCCAAATGCTTTATTTTTATTTACTTCTCCTGACGAAGACAAACGATTTTTGTCGAAACGTTGAGAAAATTAAAAACTAACTGGCCGAAGTGTCTATTTTTCATATAAATATAGTGTAGTTCATTGTTATGTCTACCTACTTTATCAAGCCCCGAAATCCTGAGAGATCTGATAATAAAAATATTTAAACAATGAAACTATCTATGGAAGATTTTCCTTAATGATAGGATCCAATGGATTATAATTTTCGAACATCTAAACCATCATTGTGTATATGACAATCTAAGATAATTTTTACAAGGTTATCCCAAAAGTTGGTAAACACTTGCAAAAAAATTGAAATACCTATATTATTCGTCGTTATATATAATGTCTTTGTATTATGTACAGTTAAACCTGTCTATAGCACCCCCTCTAAATAGCGCCTTCCTCTCTATAGCGCCCGATTTTAAATACGTAGTACGATGCGATTTACATTAAAAGTGACCTGTCTATAGCACCCCCTCTCTAATAGCACCCTATTTTGGTGAGTCCCAAGAGGGGGAGTTATAGACAAGTTTAACTGTATAACGTAATTGTATTATGTATTATTATATATTCGCCGTAATAATATTATTTACCGATATGAAAACCATATTTTTAATAAAAACACGAACTTTTAGAACAACTTTATAGTAATAACTATAATAAAGTTATTTTTGAACAACAAAAATAAAAAAGAGAATTGTGTTTGGATGTTACTAAAGGAATGATTTCTAAATGAAAATGAATATTTCTGCGTGGAAAAGAGGTTGACACAACAATTTATTTAAGACAAGAACAAACTATGAATGATAAACAAAAGATAAGCAATGAGGGAAGTTTACAGAGTAGCAAAATATAAACATAAAAATGATACTCTGTTAATAAAACAATAAATACCTTGCTACAATATATTAGAAGAAACACAGGTCTCGGAGTGAAGAGCTTCTACGACTTATGTTTATCTATATATATATAAATGAATGTTTGTATGTTTGTTTGTATGTCCGGTATACAAATTCGCAGTAGTTCACTAATTCAACCCAAAATTTCCATACATAGGTAAAAAAATACGGGGAAGACGATAGGCTATTTTAAAAATATATATAAATCAATTATTAAAACTATATATTCAAATTATTCTACTTAGCTCGCGAGCAGCGCCTCTAGCGGTGAAGATGGGAGGTAATATCAGCTGACCCAATGTACATGTAAAGTTTGGAGCGGGACGTTTCACAAGAGTGACATCCACGGCGCCAATTTATAATTGTAACGAATAGTGTTTGAATAAAACATTTAATCGGGTAAACCCGGGCGTTGCCTGGGTCATTCGTCTAGTTTTTCTTTAACGAATAGAGAGGTAATCATTGTCTTAATTCAATCGTAAAGAAGTTCTTCATCCCGACTTGAGTTTCTTTTCCTATTGTTTTTTATTAACCCATTGTATAATATAATGCGGCTTGTGATTATAAAACGACATTTGAAAACTATCCCGCATGTGTTTCTTTTCAACGAAAAATCAAAATTTATTTCAAGGAGAAATAACGATTATTTCTAACCTTTTGGATGGGGTATGAAAGGGTGAATTGTGAAGAGTAATGATAAACGGAAAAATAAGCCTAGTGGATATGGCAATCTGCCCGGTAAGCGGAACACTGTGGGTTCGATTCCCATCCCTGGACACTTTTATTTTTCCGTTTATCATTACTCTTCACAATTCACCCTTTCATATCTCATCCAAAAGGTTAGAAATAATCGTTATTTCTCCCCTTGAAATACATTTTGATTTATCGTTGAAAAGAAATACATGCAGGATAGTTTTCAAATGTCGTTTTATAACCCATTGTATAATTATACAAGGTAATGGAGACTATATCTTCTATAGTGAATAGGAAAATTGTGTCGTTGTTGTTCTAAATGTATATATTAATAAGTCATCTTCCTCCAATCTTGAAAATGTCCAGTCCTCTGCTGAAAACACAGTTCCTGTACAAGGGACAAATGTTGTTTTCTTTTCTATACAACCAGCAAGGAAATATAATAACACTGGTCAACAAGATTTTTGCACAAGAGAACCTGATTATATTTCTAGTGTAACTTTTCATGCTGAACTCAAAAATTTAATCAGAAATTTCCCATCACCTATGGGTTTTGCGTGACGGTCTTTTTTTAGTATTGGGATAAATACAGTAAAAAATGCAAACAATGTTACGTAAGCAGTTTTGCATAACCCTTATTACATTACACTGGTTTATCAAAAAATATTTTTCTTTGTCCACAAAGAAATAGCATCTTATCTACATGTCCTGAATCCAAATATAACATTAGTTTTTTCTATTACGCAATATTTCTGAGATACACCTACTTGAAATTTTAAAATATTGTTAATATATACGCATATATGAACGAAACATATTTATTTATTAAAAAGCAGTGACAGTGGATTTTCTTATATACTTTGCTTGTGGTAGATCCCTCTTGAGTGTCCAGCAGTAGTCGGCAAGCATAGCGGAACTCCATTTACCTTGGTACCGCTTCTCCATTGATATATCTTGATGAAACCTCTCACCATGCTCATCGCTAACTGCGCCAAGATTGTCTGGAAAGAAATCTAGATGTGAATGCAGGAAATGGATCTTGAGGGACATGTTACACCCCAGTGCCTTGTAGGAAAGCAACAGATCATTGACTATGTCTCGGTAATTTTCAACCTTGACACTTCCAAAGAAGTTTTTGCAAACGTTTCTAAAGGAATTCCATGCTGCTGCTTCAACTTCATTCAAACTATTTTCAAAATTTCCGTCCTGCTGCAATTCTCGAATCTGAGGTCCTACGAAAATGCCTTCTTTAATCTTCGCTTCACTTATACTAGAAAATATTTGTCTTAGGTAGGCAAATCCACTGTCATTTCGATCCATTGCCTTGACAAAGTTCTTCATTAATCCCAGTTTAATATGTAATTGTGGTAAGTAAATATTTTCTAAATCGATCAGGGGTAGATTTGCAATATTTTTATATCCTGGAGTATAGACTTTACGGTTTGGCCAGATTTTTTTAATGTAATGCCTTTCCCTATCTCTGCTATCCCACTCACACAGAAAACAACAAAACTTTGTATATCCAAGCTGTAATCCACGCAAGAGAGCAACGACTTTCAAATCGCTGCATATTTTCCAACCGTATCTTTCATATTCTATCTTTTTCAAAAGCAGTTTCATGTTTTCGTAAGTCTCTTTCATGTTGGATGCATGTGCTATTGGCACTGATGGGAACTTATTTCCATTGTGAAGGAGAACAGCTTTCATACTAATTTTTGAAGAATCAATGAATAAACGCCACTCTTCTGTATCATGGTCATGACCAAGCGCTTCCATTAGACTAACAACATCATTGCAATATACTAAATTATTCTCTTGTGAATAGAAGTCTTGAAATTCATCTTGACGCTTGCAAAAAAAAAAGCATAATTTTGTGCCTTTATGCAGCAGATTCCAGGCTTTTAACCTAGAGCCTAAAAGTTCACTCTGTTTTTTGGATAAATCTAAATCACGTACGAGGTCGTTCAAATCTCCTTGGGTTAATAAATGAGGTTCAGATAAAGCACCTGCTTCAAAATTTGTGTCATCCCACTGTTGCTCTCGTCTATCTGAATCATCGTCACTAAATATTACATTTTCAGGAGGCTGTGGAACAGGTAAAATATCACTATGAGGAACCGGTCTCATAGCAGAAGGCAAATCTGGATATTCAACTGTATGTCTTGATTTGGATGTAATACCTATAGTCTTTGTTAAACAAAAATAACAGTCTTAAGAATGGTCTTTAGGTTCCCTCCATATCATTGGAACCGCAAAAGGCATATGACGTTCACCTTTAATCCACCCTGTAAGATGTCGAGCACAAATTACACAACAATGGTGAGGAGCCCAAATCATATCTTGGAAATAAAGTTCATAGCACTTTTTGATGAGCGGTGTAAAGTTTCGCCTTTTAACTTTGAAAGTTAATTCCCTACAAATATAACAGAAAATATCAGGAATATTAATGCAACGCCTCGGCATATTGACACAGTCTAGTGCACACGATTTATAAAAGCAAATCGATAGAGAAGAATAAACTAATCACTTCAAATGTACCTGTCACTTCTGCTGCAAATCTATTAAACAAATCGTTAGGTTCAATTTAAATATATATATTAAAACTGTTAATGAGCAAATAGCATTACAGAGCTTGTCGTTATTTTTTAGTTGAAAGCAAAACAGATTATAATATTATATAATAATAAATTATATATATTCAATTAAAATTTCAATAATTTGTTATTTAAATTGATATTTATGATTCTTAAAGAGCAAAATTTAATTAATAACAAATAAAATAAAGCTTTTGGCTCCACATACCAACTCTTCTTGTCAAAAATAAAGCGCTAGCTTAGTTAATGATGTAACTTAAAAAATGCTTACGTAACATTGGTTGCATTTATTACTGTATTTATCCCAATACTAAAAAAAGACCATCAGGCAAAAACCATGGGTGATGGGAAATTTCTGATTAGATTTTTGAGTTCAGCATGAAAGGTTACACTAGAAATATAATAAGGTTCTCTTGTGCAAAAAAAAAAGTTTTTTTTGTAGACCTGTGTAATCGTTTCCCAATTCCGTTGATTTAATATATATGATTTTAAGATACACTCATAGACAAAACTTAAGGAAGTTGTATATTTTAGCATGTATATCGGGATTCAGACAATAACTCTTGGGAGATATTTGATACACAGTGATCTTTATTGAAGATACACGAGATAACCAAGTGTGAACAACATTGCCTCTGTCTCCTTTAAAACAAAATAAACAAACAAACAGACGACCGGTGATATCAAAAGTTTTTCACTTCCTTATGTTTTTTGTCGATGAGTGTAGTTTGATTTTTACCATTCTGTTTTAAAATTCCATTTTTATCTCTTTAGATTCCATTATTTCATATTCACTAAAATGAAGAAAGGAGTTTAGAGTTCGAGCGTTCCCTTTGAAAAACAAAAGATTTAAATTTTTTAAAAGATGATTTACTGAAATTACACTTTTCCCAATATCTTACCTTTAGACAGCTGCACAGGATCTATCTTGTCCAAGTTCAGGTTGAATAGATACACTCATGGACAAAACTTAAGGAAGTTGTATCTTTTACCATGTATATCGGGATTCAGTAAATAACTCTGAAAGATATTACAGTGACCTTTATTGAAAACACACTATATCCACTCATGGACAAAACTTAAGGAAGTTGTAACTTTTAGCATGTATATCAGGATTCAGACAAAAATCTGAAAGCTATTGCAGTGACCTTTATTGAAGATACACTATATCCACTTATGGACAAAACTTAAGGAAGTTGTACCTTTTAGCAGGTATATCGTGATTCAGACAAAAATCTGAAAGATATTACAGTGATCTTTATTGAAGATATTGAGATAACCAAAGTGTGAACAATATTGCCTCTGTCTCCTTCAAAAGGAAGTTCCTCTTAAGTTCTGTCCATGAGTTTATATTGAACTTTGGTTGAATGGTTTGTGTACTTTGAGGTATTAAAAAAAGGTGAATTTAGTGTGTGTGTGTGTGTGTGTTATTATACGTGCGGCTTTAAATGGCACTACACCTTCTGTCATAGAGGTGGGGTGTTCTAACCAACAACAATCTAGAGAAAGACGTACCTGTGTTATATTGGTCAGGAGCAGTTTCCGTCATAGTCCTGTATCACACAATACATTGTAAACACCGTTTCGTGCTATTATGGGCGTGGTGGGGTACCAGGTGGCACTGGTACCTCTACAAAAAGCCACAAAAGCCCAATGACGACTCTGAGTCAAATGGCGAGTCCAGCCCGCCATGTAATCAACCAAAGGCTGTAGCCAACAACAACTACTCCAGCGTCTGCATCCATGTTAGGAACGGCTGATGAAGCGTCTGTCCTCCATGTTAGGAGCGGCTTCTTCCGAGGAAGGTGATGGCCGGCATGCGCCCTCGGGCTAGATCTTTTGATCGACAGATATCACCAACTGATGACCAAATATCCTTTAGGATATCCTGGTCTTTACAGCACTAATCCACCGGTGCACAGAGGAGGCCCTGGAGTGGATTCGTCACCTCGACATTCCACTCTAGAGAAACTTGCCAACATTGTTGTATTGTGCTGTAAAAAACAATATCATACGCAATAATAATAATAATTTCAGATATGGGTCAAACTAAACTTTCTTGAGAATAATTTTCCTTTCTTTATAACGCGTCAATAAGTCTAAGAATCACATTTCTTAAAAAACAGATTACACCCATACCTCGCTTTGCGTCGGGGTTACGTTCCAAAAAAAAACACGACGCAAATTGAAACGACGCAAAGTGAAAATATGTGAAGGCGCAATCAAAAACAAAGGTGTTGCCATATTTAAAAAAAAAAATAAAAATAAAAATAATAATAATAATAATAAAGACTCGAATCCAAAACAACGCAACTTTGAAAATCTAACGACGCACAGTGAAAATCAGTAAAAAATTAAGCAGCGACGCAACTTCGAAAAAAACGCAAAACGAAACGACGCAAAGCGAGGTATTGGTGTACTTAAAGTAGTTGCCTTTTTCTGTGTTTCACTAGGACTTGGTTACGATTCCCGTAGTGTTATCTATTAATCCG